TGCGCGTGCGCGTGCGCGTGCGCGTGCGTGCGCGCGCGCGCGCGGGTGTGTGTGTGTGTGTGTGTTTGTGTGTGTGTTTGTGTGTTTGTGTGTTTGTGTGTGTTTGTGTGTGTTTGTGTGTGTGTGTGCGTTCGTGTGTGCGTGTGTGCGTGTGTGCGTGTGTGTGCGTGTGTGCGTGTGTGCGTGAGTGTGTGTGTGTGTGTGTGCGCGCGTGCGTGCGTGCGTGCGTGCGTGCGTGCGTGCGCGCGTGCGCGCGCGTGCGTGCGTGCGTGCGTGCGTGCGTGCGTGTGTGCGTGCGTGCGTGCGTGCGTGCGTGCGTGCGTGCGTGCGTGCGTGTGTGCGTGTGTGCGTGTGTGCGTGTGTGCGTGTGTGCGTCTGTGCGTCTGTGCGTCTGTGCGTCTGTGCGTGTGTGCGTCTGTGCGTCTGTGCGTCTGTGCGTCTGTGCGTCTGTGCGTCTGTGCGTCTGTGCGTCTGTGTGTGTGTGTGTGTGTTTGTGTCTGTGTCTGTGTCTGTGTTTGTGTCCGTGCCCGTGTCTGTCCGAGTTTGTGTCTGTGTGTGTGTGTCTGTGTGTCTCTCTGTGTGTGTGTGTGTCTCTGTTTGCGTGTTTTTTTTTGACAAAGGTCTTGGTCAGCAAACAAGCCCAACACAAAGAGGCCGAAGGGAGCAAACAAGGGAGCCTTGGTTGGCAGAAGGACACCTTTTGTTGGTCAAGGTTTGACGAATCTGTCCTGTGGACATGGATATGGCCATGGGTCAAAACCCCGGTTAGCCCCCAGTGAACATCCCAATCCAACCACTAAAATAGGTTCTAACATGGGTGGTGCACCTGTCTCAAAATGGGATCCCATTGGTTAACCCACGGCCATATATTCAAGAAGCGTCTACGTCTTCTTTGCCCAGGTTCTTTGTCATTGACTCAAGCCTTACTTGGACTGAATGGGTGAAGCTCGTCGGGGGAAGCCCTTCTTCATGTATTGGACGTCAATGGGTTTTCCTAAGACTCAAACGTGTTGACTTTATAAAGTTTCATTTGCCCTAAGCCGGGTACTAGAACTCCTTCTTCCATTTGCTTAAGACCAAATGGCAAAACAAACAAAAAATCCAGTAGTGATAAATTCTTTTGAAAACCAACAAGAGAAACATGAAAACAAATAAGCAAATGGAAGCCTTGCTCAGGCAAAATGAGGGCGGTGCTCAACTGGAAGCTCAGTTGAGTCTTCCTAGCGGCAAATCCTAGGCTTCAATGGTATGTTGGTTCCGCGGCGTCTCATGAGAAAATATCGTGGATGGTTGCGAAATCCATTTCGCACCTACCTATGAAACCCTGGTTTATGATTTGATTTCCAGGTAAATACCAGCAAACAATGGGTTCAACCATGGTTTCCAAGCGGTGCGAAATGGATTTCGTCCATCCACAGTAGTGCGGTATGCAAAACGACCATCAGCCCGAAACAAAGCTTAATTATAAGCGAGTTCAAGGTTCACCCCCCCCTTCAACAATCATGGAAGCTGACAGGAGGGTGTTGGAAGACGACTTTCCTTTTCGAAGCCCCCTGTCCACTTCCATGATTGGAGAAAGGGCAACCGATTGGCTTTGAAGCTGGGCTGTCCTCAGATCCCCCGCTAAAAGTTTAACTTTTAGTGGGTTAAATGGAAAATCCCACTAAACGCTAAAAGATTCTAAACAACTAAGGAACCGGATGGCTGGGAGCCACCAAGGGAAGGTACCCCTAGAATCATGGAACCTCCAAACCTCATCTCTCAATGGTTGTGTTTGTTCCAGGACGGTTGCCCTTTATTGTGCCCCTTTGGGGCAGCCACTGAGCAAGGGTCGGAGGATTCCATGAGAATCCCAGGCGCAGCATCACCTGCTTGTTGTTCCACGCCAGCAAGGTGCTGCCGCCCAGACTCAGGCCCTTCACCCGGAAGTTGGTCGCCACCGTCACCTGCGTCTCCTTCTCCTTGAGTGGGCCGGTGACTTTTGTTTGAGGGTATTCCCGGGTTTTGGTGGGGTTTAAAGGGAAACCACACAAAACCAAACATGTTTGTCAGCGTATCCCTTTTTTTGCGGGTTTTGGTGGGGTTAAAAGCAAACCAAAGCACAACAACACCATTCTGGGCTGCTGTTTCAAAAACACACACATAGGCGTAGCACCCCAATCACAACTCGTCAATTCCTTTTGTGAAGCACCATCATGCTCTTTATGTGAAGCTCCCAGAAATCAGAACAACACCGGCTGGCGATTCCCCAGGAACCTCAACTGGATTTGCTTCCAAACAGGCAATGGAGCCGCCCCAAAAGATGGGTGGATGTCTTGGTGGTTCCCTGTAAAACCCAAGAAGAAGCTTGAGAATCAAAAAACCCTCAAAATAAACACGCGCACAAGACTATTTCCCGGAAGTAGACTTTGGGCTTCCATCACCCCAAAAAGGAACCGCAGAAAACTCCAGTCCGTGTGGTAGACCATGATCTCCGAGGGCGAGGTCTGCACAGCCATGAGCGGTGCCTGCGCCGCAGATCTCTTTCGCCCGAGCCCCGAACTCCACTGGCCTGTCAGATCCCCCGCTAAAAGTGGACAACTTGTAGTGGGCTAAATGGAAATCCCCAAACCCTAAAAGTCGAAAAAGCTAAGGAACCGGATGGCTGGGAACCAAGCCCAAGCTGATCAATCTGAAGCATAATACTTCACCAAGCTGAAATAAGGTGCTTGGCAGGCTACTCCCCACATAAACCACCATTTGGGGTGAGGTCCTAGGTCGTTATAATTCACCCAGATCAATCTACTCAGCTCTGCTTTGTGGTTTGGAGCCGGGTGTTTGGTGGTAAAACACTGTGGTTTCCCAGTTCTCCTCAGGAACCAGGGGTTCAAATTTTCAAACCACCAACCCAAACCACAAAAAAAAACAGATGCCTGATTTGCTGGGTGTCCAAAACCCGAGAAGGCACCGGAAATCAACTTGCGGGACGAGAAAGCCCTGCAAGGCGATCATGTGCGCTTGAAAACAAAGGGGCGAGCCTGGAGTTCCTTGGCACCTGCCCCTGGGACCCACCCTAACCAGGAAAAGCAAAAAGACGGAGGGGACAAAAACTGGAATAAACACCAAACACGAAACAGAGTTTTGCAGAAGAAGGGTACTCACGATGTTTTTCTTTAAAAGAAAAAGCTCAATCTACATGGAACCTCACAGGGTTCCGGTCCTTAACGTCAGCTTCCATGTGGTTGATTAGTGGGAGGGCTTCGCGGACAAGAGCAAACTTCTGGGACACACCCTGAGTGTTGAAATCGGGTCAAGCCCCTGGCCACTCAAAAGTATGGTCTCAGAGTCTCCCATTTGGTTTCCCTTCAAAACCTGAAAACTTGCTGGTGCTCAAGTAGGCAATGAGAATTGGAATGACCCCTACAAACAAACTCTCCTGTTTCCTTTAAGGAGACCAACACCTGGGTTCATTCCATTTCCAGATTCTTTGCCTACTTTCTATCGCAGCGATCGCATGTGTTCAGGGTAACATAAACCATCACCAAAGAACACCTATGAGTATCGGACGATATGACTTACTTCCAGAATACGTCATCGCAAAGGTAGGCCCCCATCGGTTTTCAAGGTTTTCACTACATTCAAGGATTTCCCCCATGTCTGGTTTTCCATCCCCTCAAAAAACACATAAACAAGAACCAAAAGTCATATATGGGTTTCCCATCCCATGGGTTTTCCAGCCCAAAACCTGAAAAGGGATCCCCTCCAACCAACAAACGACCCATCCAAACCGTGCGGCGATCGCGCGCGCCGATCGCGCCCGATGACCGTCTCGGAGGATCGCGCCTGGGAGGCGCTCTTCAGCTGAGCCTCGCAAAAGATGGTGCTGGACCTTTCCGTCCTCGCGATGCTTCGTTTTCCGAGGAACGGCCCGGGGTTTGGGTGGGTTCCTTGGCTATGGTTCCGGCAGGTCGGTTTCACCTGGGTTTGGGGCTTGAATCTCATTAAGTTTGGGCGTGGAACATACCAAGGAAATCTGCGAAGTGGGTCGTTTCCTGATAAAAAGGTCTACCAAAACAATGCGCCTGGTGCTTAGAATTGTTCGCTAACCTTCATGCAGACTATTGATTGCGACTGAATGTGGGCCTGGTACAGTCCCGCGGAAAGAACATTCTGAACCCAGCAGCAAGCGGGTCCATACTGGCCATCTTAGGCCATGAAAACAAGACACAAAAAATGGGTATGTGTCAATATAGCAGCCTTCCGTATGACTGTTGACACCAAGCTGCAAAAAGGTACCCCCGCACCCCCGAACAAAACAGTAATAAAAACGACAACATACCAAAGCATCTGCAGTTCTGAGGGCTTGTGAAACTAGATGTCTGCTCCTAATGGTTTGCAGGGGCATGGGCTGATCTTTGACTCCCTTCAGAAGGGAAAAGGCTTCGGATAAACAGTACCAGCTCAAAGGCAAATAGCACAACTCCCCCATAGTTTCATCATCCTGTTTGCTTGCGAAGGAAGTTGTGGCAACTTTCACCCCAGTGTATTTCCAATGGAAAATGCTATTTGCTGGTCGAACCTAGGGGCCACTCGGGCCTGCCAATTGCTGGGGCGCAGCTTTTGTCGTTTCGGCGCTGCTTGGATGTTCAAACTACGTAGGAAGTTCATCACTACTTAACGTGAACCCCACAATAATACACCCCTGGTTGATTAATAGGGGGGTGTCCCCTTTTAGTGGGGGTTCATCACTTTTGGAGGGAACACCCCCCTAGTGATGGGACGGGTCTACTTAGATCCTGGGTCAACATTAGTCGACAGCATGGGAAACCGTCAGTCTCCCAAGGTCGGACAACGCTATATAGATGTTCTTTTGGACAAATGGACAGCGCGGCTGCGCTGGAATGTACGCATAGGAATGAAAAGAACCGACGTCAAACCAGTGAAGCGACATGCATGTTCAAGCAAACCGAGCGAAAAGGAACAGGAATATGAAATTCTGAGTAAAGGACCTCCATCATTGGGTAAATCGCTTGTGTTAACCCCAAATCGGTACGCTCTTGAACTAATTTCTGCAGACTCATGGCTATCATCCTGACCCGCCCCCTTCAGCCGAGAAGATTGGCCAAAAATGTCCAACCTTGTGCGTCAATGGTCTTGCAAAATGTATAAAGTCCATTTTGGCACACTGTTTTTCCAACCCCAAACCTTCTTTTAAGCTTTTGAATCCATTCTACCTTTTGGCGTCTGGGCCCCCCCAAAAAGTGAATGGGCTTGAAAACCGGGTCCCCCAAGTCCCCCCAACCCCCCCCACCCCCCCCAGCCCCTCCTGGCATGGACCAAACTCTCGCCGGGGCCCCAGGTGAGCCGCTCCACCGTGCACTCGCCCACATGGACCACCGGCATCACTTGCCTGGGCCAAAAGGCAAAAAAACCATGAACCTACCTTCATATGGATCAAGGGCGCTACAATTACTAAACAAATAAGAACTTAAAAGCCAAAAGAACATAATTTTCAGGGAGATTCGTTGATTGCTGCTCTAACATAGATGCTGGTTTGAACCAGAAAGGCAGAAACAGCTGAGCTGGGACCGCTTTTGGGGTTTCTTCTACTCGTTTTATATCAAACTCTTCGGTGCCGCCTTCCACCAAAACGAGTCCGTGATGCGAGCCAGCTGTCTAGGCGGTATTTTGTTCACAAGGGTGCAAAATAGTTGGGCGTCCTTCCGTTCAGGGTTTCAACAAGGGCGAAAGAAGGACAACTAGCTTCTCGTTGGCTTCTGGGCTGTCCTCAAATCCTCCGCCGAAAGTTTGACTTTTAGTGGCTTAAATGGAAATCCCCCCACTAAACCAACCAAAAAGATGTATACAAAGCTTTTTGAACCGGAGACACTTTACCCCCAAAAAACAGCCACAGTTGCTGGGAAAAAGCCGCAACTGGCGGCTTCTTGTTACTTCGCATCTTCCTTCGGAGATAAAAGCAGACCCCCAAAATGTCCAACCCATCCCGAAAAGCACTCCTGACCACAGAAACCCCAAAAAACGGGCGCTGAAAAAACACACCCCACCCCTCGGACGTCCCAATCGGAATCGGACCGGGCCCGGGCGAATCGGGGCGACTTGGGGCCCGGGCCAGTTGGCTTCCGCCTTGGGCGTGCCGGACACCGTGCAGCAGCGCCACTGCACCATCTTCCCCCCGCGGGTGCCGCAGGCGAGGACCTACGGAAACGGATCCAGAAGACCGAGCCGCTCGCCGCCGGGGATCGATCCGGGCGGCTGCCGGGGGATCGATCCGGGCCCAGCGCGGGGGGATCCGGTGCCTCACGTCTTGCTTCATAACGTTCGTCTTTATGTCTGTGTCCTCCGAGTCTTTACATCAACAAATCACTCAGGATTCATATGTCACATCCGTTTTTGACATGCAACAGGGGATCTGAATTCCAACGATGTTGTTCACATTCGTCAAAATCAAATCCCCAGGAACATCGACCCGTGATGTGAAAGGGGATCATGTTTTTGTTTCATGTCTTTGATCAGAGGACACCTGAAGAAGATTTCATCGAGTTCAACCTTTTTTTGTACGGGAATTTGTTTGTGCTCTGTCACGTAACCTAAGTGAATCATGTTGATAGAAACTGTTAGGTCAAACACCTGCTTTTCGTTCCCCAAAAAATGGTTCTTGTCCTATTGTCGAGGGCCCGTTGGTTGATGGCGGAGGCGCACCCATTTTAGAGGGACACCGCTTTTTTTTGCAGGACCTCTCCAATACCGTGGATGGACAAAATCCAGCACCACCATTCAGAACCCCTGGAATGATGCTTACCTGGTAAATACCAACAAGCAATGGTTTCTCATGGTTTCCAAGCGGATCGAAATGGACTTCGTCCATCCACAGCATGCCTCCCTCAAACCTGGCCTTTTGACCCAGGAACTATGCCGGAAGTTGAGGACCAAAAAACACAAGGCCAAGGTTTGCCTTCGACCATGCTGGAGAGAAAAAAATGACTGGGACCGGGTCACTCCAATGCTGGACAGTTGGGTGGGTCAAAAATAGTTACCCCAAAATGGCAAAGGCAAGCCCTGAATGGAAACATGGACTATCCTGGTTCAATTTTGACCCATCAGTTTGTGTCATTTTGGACCCCCGAAATCCGCCATTGAGAAAGAGCACCCCCGATGGTTTGCATCGGTGCACGACAAAACCATGGACATGCTGTGGACGGTTGCGAAATCCATGTCGCACCACTTTGAAACCATGCGAAACCATTCTGTTTTTGGAATTTCCGGAAAATTGATCATTCCAGGGTTGCTTTGGTGGTGCAAGACTTTGTCCATCCACAGTACTATTTCCCTCCAAAAGCCAAGTGGCATAACACTGCTGGAGCAAGCGGAAGACCAGTCATCATGATTTGAATAAAATTATGTTCATGCATGCCAAAATCTAAAAACATGACCTCCATAGTCTAATAGTTGTAATGTTGAATTTGCCTTTTGCAATTGAATTGAGCAGGGCAGTTCCATCCAAATTCCTTACCCGGCAAAGGCGCGTTCCGCTTTTCACCGTTGTCGCGCCCGACAAAGGGGGGGACCCAACTTGGCCGACGCCCCTAGTGGAAACCCCCTGGGACATCCCCTTGGACTCTTTCAACAAACTTGTTTTCCCGACACATATTTATTCATAAGGGGAGGGGGCAGAGGGGGAGGGGAATTAAGACCAGAGAGCAGCAATGAAATGGCACATCGCCGCCCCACAAATGTAAAGGGCATCCCATGTGCAAGGAGAGTTGTGTCCTTTTTGTCCTTTTTGAGGTTGGAGCCTCCAAAATGGCTTTGGTGTTCCTCTTGGTGTACCCTTAAAACCAGCCAAAAAGGGGTACCAACTCAGCAAAAAGCCACCCGCATTTTGGGAGCACTAGGAGAGTTGTCCAGATCTCGGCGCAAGCCCACAGTCCCCGCGCCTGTTTCCGGGGGTTGTAGTCGATGCTGGTGACCTTGTCACCGCTCAGGCTATTCCGCTCATCCACCCCCTGCAGGGAGAGGATGTAGTTCTCGTCATCTGCCAGGTTCCTGAGCCATCCGAGATAAAACACCCACAGCCCTCAGCCCTCAGCCAGACTCTCAAGCCTTGACATGCCCGTTACTCAGCCGGATTCCCCAACTTTTCGTTTTTCAGCGCCTCTTTTACGGGAAACGTGGGGCAGCGGAAGGGGCAGGGCCACCCACTGGGTGGTTTGGGGGGGGGGAGGGCCGAACAGAGATCCGAGTTCCGGGGTTCGGGCATCCCAGTTGCCCAGAAACTGGCGGTAGACCTCACCTTTGCGGCCGATTAAGGTGTTGGGCGGATGTTTAAGGTGCTGCCCTTGGCAAATGGATGTTTCAAGAAAAAAAAGTAGGGACGCCTGTTACATGCCCCCCTTAAAAGGCCAAAGAGAGACACCTTCAGTCCACTGGCGAAACAAGCGGTTGCAGCTCGCAGCTTTGTTCCATCAATGTTGAACCAACAGGTCAAACTGGATGTCAGACAAGGTTGGACAAATCGTGTCTCCATCTTCTTTTTGGTGAGTACAGTAAACATGATAAGCTCCCGAACATATGGTTTGGCGGCTTCACTAAAAAAGATCAACTCCCGAAGCTTGGTTGCTGTTGACCCCTCTGCATTGAACAATCCCGCCTGCTTCCACCCAAAAGTCAAGTTCCAAAGATCCAACCAACTCATACAGCAAACGACTTGCCGCATAGGTGGTATTTTGGTTGAAAATGGATGGTCCTGGTAGATGATCAAGATCGCTAGCCATGCTCAAGACCAAGACAACCGCAAAGGACACCTATGATCAAACTGGTCATTTGCCCAAAAAGTTGAAAGCCGAGGAACTTGGGGAGTGAGAGACAACAGATTTTTGGTAAACCTTTGACTAGGTGAAATGGAACACCGAACCAGCTAAAACAGCCAAAGCAGCCCTAAGTTGAACCGCACGATTCGCTGGGAACCATCAAGCAATACCAAGACTGACCGCCCGTTTTGGTTTCTCACCTATGCTCTAAATGGTGCCTCCCGCCTTTCTTTGAGCACCCCCTCCAAGTGCTCCCAGATTTGTTTTTTTGCGGACTCTCCGAGAACCCTCCAAATGTTCCCAGGTGGCTTGCGTTTCTTTTTTTCTCAAACATCTTCCCACTTTTTCCGGGCGAAGCCCTCTCAAAGCCTGGCCCTTCGACTTGGTTGCTGTTGACCCCCCTGCAAAAAGAGAATACCTTTTGGGGGGGTTAGTGGAAAATAAAGTCAGATCCAACCCAGTAGCAGTCAAGGGGGGCAGTGGCAAGATCAAAACGCTCTTGTACCAATCCGTGCACAAGTGCAGGACCTTCGTCATAGCTTTCGCTAATTTTACCACCCGAAGCGGCCCGGTGAGCTCGCCATTCAAAAACAACATAAGGGATCGATTTCTAAGGCGGAATGCTTTTTAGCCCATGTATGAACCCCTAGTGAATGGGTGAATTAACCGTTCGTCATGGCTTAGAAATCAGGCCCCAAAGGGCAAAATGGCCACGGGTTCATATATGGCCATGGGTCAAAAGCCCGTACTCCCGGTGAACATCCCAATCCCCACTAAAATAGGCTCTAAAATGGGTGGTGCACCTATCCCAAAATGGGATCCCATTGGTTTTGACCGGCCATATGGACCTATACAATCAGCCTTTGAAGACTTCCATTTGGTCAAGACCCCTGAGAAAAAGAAAAACAAGTAGTGATAGAGTCCCTTTAAAACCAAGAAGTGGCTGTGGCTCCAAAAACCGGTACTAAAATGGAACCCTGTGGAAACATGGACCAAAACCGGTTTGCCCCTCCTGTCTAATTTTGAGCCACAGCCAAGTGAACATCCCAAGCCAAGTCGACGTCGGCGAGGCGCCAGAGCCGCACGATGGACTCGTGGGAGCAGGTGGCCAGCAGCCCGGCGCCCGCCCAGGCGGCCTGCAGCTTCTCGGGGGTCGGCCCGCAGGACAGCTTCCTCGAAATCCGAAGTGACGTCAACTAGGTCCAGTAGATTGAGAGGATAGAATAAGCTAGGCTACCATTTTTTCTGTAGTCTATTATGTAGTAGGGGAACCCTCCCCCAAAAGGGCACAAATGATAGGTGGTCTTGTGTTTTCTCTTTTTTCTTTTTTCTTGTTTTTGTTTTAGTTGTGTTTTCTCTTGCTTTCTTCTTGTTTTGTTGTGTTTCTCTCTTTCTTTTTTTTATCTGTAGTCTATTTTAGTAGGGCACTACTGGGGGACCTAGTCAAGGAACCCAGGAGCCAAGTTGAGTGCACCTCCCTACAAAAGCCTACAAAAGCCACGGTTTCAGTCTACCTTGCGGAAATCAACAAATGCTAGGTCCACCAGTAGTTTGAGAGGTCAGAAGAAGGGAACCCGTGTTTGTCTTGTTTTTTTTTTGTCGGGGAACCCTCCCCAAAAAAAGGTAAAGGGCACTACTGGGGGAGCTAGTCAAGCAACCCAGCAGCCAAGTTGAGTAATGCACCTCCCTACAAAAGCCAACTTCAACTAGGTCCTCCAGTAGTTTGAGGTTAGAATACGGGCGCCCGATGTTTTTTTCCTTCAGTAGAGAGGTTAGAAGAAGGGTACCCGTTTTGTCTTGTTTCTTTCTTCTCTTGTTTTTCTTTCTGTAGTCGATTTTAGTAGGGGAACCCTCCCCAACAAAAGGTAAAGGGCACTACTGGGGGAGCTAGTCAAGCAACCCAGCAGCCAAGCTGAGTAATGCACCTCCCTACAAAAGCCAACTTCAACTAGGTCCTCCAGTAGTTTGAGGTTAGAATAAGGGTGCCCGATGTTTTTTTTCTTCAGTAGAGAGGTTAGAAGAAGGGTACCCGTTTTGTCTTGTTTCTTTCTTCTCTTGCTTTTTTTCTTTCTGTAGTCGATTTTAGTAGGGGAACCCTCCCCAAAAAAAGGTAAGGGCACTACTGGGGGAGCTAGTCAAGCAACCCAGCAGCCAAGTTGAGTAATGCACCTCCCTACAAAAGCCAACTTCAACTAGGTCCTCCAGTAGTTTGAGGTTAGAATAAGGGTGCCCGATGTTTTTCTCTTCAGTAGAGAGGTTAGAAGAAGGGTACCCGTTTTGTCTTGTTTCTTTCTTCTCTTGCTTTTTTTCTTTCTGTAGTCGATTTTAGTAGGGGAACCCTCCCCAAAAAAAGGTAAAGGGCACTACTGGGGGAGCTAGTCAAGCAACCCAGCAGCCAAGTTGAGTAATGCAATGTAATGCACCTCCCTACAAAAGCCAACTTCAACTAGGTCCTCCAGTAGTTTGAGGTTAGAATAAGGGTGCCCGATGTTTTCTTCCTTCAGTAGAGAGGTTAGAAGAAGGGTACCCGTTTTGTCTTGTTTCTTGCTTCTCTTGCTTTTTTCTTTCTGTAGTCGATTTTAGTAGGGGAACCCTCCCCAAAAAAAGGTAAAGGTCACTACTGGGGGAGCTAGTCAAGCAACCCAGCAGCCAAGTTGAGTAATGCACCTCCCTACAAAAGCCAACTTCAACTAGGTCCTCCAGTGGTTTGAGGTTAGAATAAGGGTGCCGGCCCGATGTTTCTTTTTTTCAGTAGAGAGGTTAGAAGAAGGGTACCCGTTTTGTCTTGCTTTTTTCTTCTCTTGTTTTTTCTTTCTGTAGTCTATTTTAGTAGGGGAACCCTCCCCCGAAAAAGGGTAAAAGGGCACTACCGGGGGAGCTAGTCAAGGAACCCAGCAGCCAAGTTGAGTAATGCACCTCCCTTCCGGTTTTACGGGAAACCCGGGTTTTTGATGTTGACTCCAGCTGCTTCAGTGACCCTGGTAGAACAAGGCCTTTGGCAAAACCTACTTTACTCACCTCCCATCGAGATTGGCCAACAAAAGTATCCAAACTGCTTCACTATTGGCGTGAAAACCTGGCTACTTGACTCACCTCGGATCGAGTGAATTGGCCAAACAAAGTCGCCGAACTGTTTGTTTACCTCTAACATGCTACAATGGTGATCGAGATTGGCCAAAGAAAGTCGCGAAACGGTTTGTTTACCTCTAAAATGCCTTCCGATCGAGATTGGCCAAGAAAAGTCACGCTGTTTGCTAAAGTCCAGGAACTCAGGAAGTGAGTTTACCAAGCAGTCTTTGATACATTAAATAGTCAAAAGGTTGATAGTGGGAGGCCACAAAGACCAAACCTGGTGTTCCTCCCTTTAAAACCCACCAAAGGCACCCTCAAACAAAGACAGGCCAAATTGAGTCATGCTTCTTAAAATGGTCCAAATGGACCCAGAACCATGCTTCAAGAATGACCAAGGCGGCCGGAGTTGCACTGGTGGCAAGGGAACTTTCCCTCACTAACCCTTATCTACCCGAGATCGGTTTTGAGGACGTGGCCAGCCGCTTCTTTTCTTGCGGCTTGACCGCGCGGAAAAGCGTGTTCAAAGGTGAGGGGGAACGCCCGTTTCTGGCCCCATTCAGATATACCACTATGGCAGGTTGGAGGGAATTCACCGGAGTTTCTGACTCTGATAACTCAAACAGCCGTCACAAAAACAATTGACAACAGCTTTTGGATGGAATTCTTGGTTCTTGTTTTTTGAGGGGGCTAATTACTGTACTTGGCCAGAGTTCGACCTGCAAGTCAGCTTTCGCTGGTTATATAAACTGACGGCAAACCAAAAGAGCAAACCTGGCTCGGGAACCCCTTGGCAAAGGTCAAGCATCGAGTGGGATACTGTGGATGAACCAAATCCATTTCGCACCACCGTTCAAAACCCCTGGAATGATACGAATCCCCTGTAAATACCAAACCTTATGGTATCAACCATGGTTTCAACTTGGTGGAATACTAGGTCCTCCAGTAGAGAGGTTAGAATAATGGTACCCGATTCTTATTTTTTCTGCAGTCTATTTTAGTAGGGGAACCCTCCCCAAAAAACGGGTAAAAGGGCACCTAGCTGGGGGGGACCTAGAATATGTCCATATTTGGGGGGGGAAAGGAGTTTTCTTGTGCATCTCTCGGCCGAAGCTTTGAGAGCTCGCTCCGAGCTTCAACTTGGACTCGTTGGCGACCTTTCCGTCTGCAGACAGGGAAAACTGCACCAGGATCACGCTCTTGGTCACCAGCACCACTACATCCTTCTGCCGGTAGTACTCCTCAAGTGTGACATGCTTGAGCTTCGGAAACTAGGGATCCCTTAAAATGGTTGGTTCCTTTTGGTTTCCTTTTGGATTCCTTTTGGTTTCCTTTTGGTTCCCTTTTGGTTTCCTTTTGGTTTTCTTCTGCTTTCCCTTTAAAGGACAACCAAAAGCGTAGACCTCCGTTTGGCTGCTAATTCAAGGGAAACCAAAGGAGACCCACCATTTTAAGGGACCACTATTTTGAGAACTCCTCCTTTTTTCGCTGAAGTGCCACTAGTTGTATTTCCGGCGCTGAAGACATGAGAGATTCACCAGTAGTTTCCCTTTGCTTGAAGTGTCGCTCATACAAATCACCAGTCCTGACCACATCCCCTACAACCGTCGACAAATGACAGCTGCACCAAATAAAACAATTGCAGCCATGGCCCCAGGCCATCCCCAAACTATTTGTACTGTTGTGAGTCGTGCTTCTCGAGTGAATGAGCAAAACAACAAACCTAGTTAAACCACTTGAATTAAAAGTGCAGGCTTGTGAATTGTTCTTCTCCGGCCGAACAGTAAGGTTTGTAAATAAAGACAATGTGCCTGGACCCTCCAACACGAGTGAAAAACAGAGCAACTATTCTAACTATGAAACATGTTTCCAAAATTCTAATAATTGGCGTTCGCAAAGCTAGCCGGACCGCCTTTTGGGAAACGCTTCAAGGGAAACCAGAAGGAACACGAAATGCAGTTGCTAGCGGCGCGACTCCTATGCTAGTAAACACCAAAAGCCAGCTCCTGTAGCCTGAACCCTCACAACTACATGTCGGAGATCGCCCCAATTTTGAGCAATATCGCATTATCACATTTCCAGATGCTCAGTGGCTATGGGCAAAAAAGGGCTTCCTTTTCTGGTTGGTGGAGTTTAAAGAGAAACCCTTCCCACAAAAAGTTGGAAAAGGGGGGCGGAATCCACTGGGCAACCGGGATTGGTAGCTTGAGGGTCCATGTCATGTCGGCTTTTTTGCGCTGGCAAGGCGCCAACAAGAGCAGCGGGCTTCCAATCTTGTAGCGCTCCGAGCACAGCCCGAAGTCGTCTGCGAGGTAAATGATGCCCTGCTCGCCCCCGAAGAAAAAGGCCGGGTTGTCCATGTTCGGCTCGCCCGAAGGGGTGGTCGTTCGAAAGACCACCTGGCAACGGAGTCGAGGCGCCTGGCAAGCCACTGAGGCTTCGAAGTTATTTCCGACTTCGGCAAGGATCTCTAAAGAATAGGGAATGTACAGCCAGAGCTAGCACTAGAGCACATTTCTGAGTTCTCCAGTCTGGATATTGAAGAGTTTACCCTCGCTTCCATGCTTTGGGACTTCTCAAAGGTAGGACTCAAGTGGGCAAAACTGCCGGTGGTTCACCAGAGAGTTGGGGCAGCAGCATCACAAGCTGATCTCATGGGGCGGATCGCTGTTGCTTGGCGGTCTCTGGACTCGTCCTCCCCACACATCTACCCAGACGACTGCAAAAAGTGACGCAACTGTTTGCTGGTTTCAATCGAATGATTGAAAAGCATGGGGAATGGATCCCGGGAAAAAGAGCTGGCTGGAGTGTTTGGAAAGGGTCTCAGATGGTCCGTGCCCACTTCCATGGTTGAGCACGCCCATCTCCCACACTGATTAAACTGGACTGCCCTCAAAATCACTTGCTAAAAGTGAATCGCTGGTGACATGGAGTCGGAACCCCAACCACTAAAGCAACTGAAAACAACTAAACGCCTAAGCCTTGGGGTTCAAACGATCATTACCACCATTGTTCACCTAAGAACTGTCATCATCCAAATTGGATCCCAAGGCCATTGGGGTTGGCTTAGGGTAAGGTAGCGGACGAACGGCTGGTTCCCAACCACCAAGGTGTAAGATGTCTTTCTCGGGCTCGCCGTGCCTTGTCGTGGCCGCCGGCCTTTCGGTAGTGGCACATCTGGTTGCACAAGCCCCGGGCGTCGGTCTTCCACACGCCGATGATGCCGTTGTTGTCGGTGGTGACCTGAGTCCCTACCAGGAACCCCTGAAAAGGTCCTCCAGATTTGAGAGGTTAGAATAACGGTCCTCCAGTAGAGAGGCCAGTCCTGGGCTTAACCATCCCGGGGATGGGCTACATAACTAGGTCCTCCAGTAGTTTGAGGTTAGAAATTTGAGAGGAAACCCTGAAAAGGCTTCAGGGCATTACTACCCTAAGATTCCCGGAAAAACGTGGTGGTTTCCCATCAAGGCGTGGTTTGTACATACCCTAGGTCCTCCAGATTTGAGAGGTTAGAATAAGTTGGTACCCGATTATCTGTAGTCTATTTTAGGAGGGGAACCCTCCCAAAAAAAGGCTGAAAGGGCACTACTGGGGGAACCTAGCCTTAAGAGGGACGGGGCTCGCCTTTGCACACGGGGCCAGGAGTGCTTTTCATCTGCGCGTGAATTCGGAAACTATATTTCCACGCGGCAAGGCTTTACGGCAGCCTGCCTCTTAAAACCAAACAAGCATTTATGCTCGAAACTCACAACCGAGCTAGGTAGGGTTGCGACCCTAAGCGTGCTCGCTTCGCGCTCGGTTTGTGCTTGTGCTTGGTTAGTGCTCGGTTCGTGCTCAATTGGTGCTCTGCTCTGCCGGCTCGCGCTCTGTTCGTGCTGCTTGGGTTGTGCTCAGGTGGCGCTCTGCTTGGGAGGCTCGTATTTGGTTCGTGCCCGGTTCGGCCCGGTTCGTGCCCGGTTCGTGCCCGGTTCGAGCCCGGTTTGTGCACGGATCGCGCACGGATCGCGCACGGATCGCGCACGGATCGTGCCCGGTTCGTGCCCGGTTTGCCCGGCTCATGCCCGGTTCGTGCTAGGTTCGTGCCCGGTTCGCGCCCGGTTCGTGCCCGGTTTGCGCCCGGTTCGTGCACGGATCGCGCGCGGATCGTGCACGGATCGCACCCGGTTCGTGCCGGTTCGTGCCGGTTCGTGCCCGGTTCGCGCCGCTCGTGCCCGGTTCGCGCTCGGTTCGTGCACGGATCGCGCACGGATCGCGCACGGATCGTGCCTGGTTCGTGCCCGGTTCGTGCCCGGCTCATGCCCAGTTCGTGCTCGGTTCGTGCCCGGTTCGTGCCCGGTTTGCGCCCGGTTCGCGCCCAGTTCGTAAACGGTTCGCGCACGGTTCGCGCCCGGTTCGTGCACGGATCGCGCACGGACCGCGCACGGATCGCGCCCGGCTCGTGCCCGGTTCGTGCCCGGTTCGTGCCCGGTTCGTGCCCGGTTCGTGCTTGGTTCGTGCCCGGTTCGTGCCCGGTTCGTGCTCGGTTTTTGCTGCGAGGCTCACGCTAGTTTGAGCTTTGCCTTGGCGAACGGCTTCCCCATAGCAATAAATGGGGTACCCCCCTTCCCCCCTTTTAATCAATATTCCCTGGGGCAACAAAAACTATTGATTGGGTACCACAAGGGCGCTGCAGGGTGCCACCTGGCACAAACGCCTTAAACAGCAATATGTCCACTAGCGATTTAAAAGAAAACCGCTCAAGGCAGTTTTGTTGATATTGAACTTGAACAAAACAAATCGGCGCAGTTCAATCTGATTTGCTCACTCTAGATTTGAATTTGCAATTCGATAATTCAAACGTGAATGCAATCGTAAGTCAAACCTGGTTTGGAGAGCTAATAAGTTCAGGTCTGGACGAGGGGTCCGCGAAAAACAAATTAATGATAGAGCGCATTCTTGATAGGGGGAAGTAATTGGCAGCTCAGCCTAGAGCCTTTGAGAAATCTGGCGTGTTACAGAAAACGCCGCAATCCGGCCACCAGCCCCCCCACCCCCCTTCCTTTGCTATAACAACCCCAATGGAAAACAATGGACACGTGGACTCGGGAGGGGGGGGGAGGGGGCAACTCCAGAAATCACGGCGTTTTCTGTAACACCTCAGCATTGCGTATCTTGAGCCGGGCGCTGTTTGTAAGATTGTTGTGGGGAGCCTGTTCAACCCAGTGTCCCGGAAAACACAAAGTTCGGTTGTTAGTTTCACGCTAAATGCGTCTGCGCCAATGTGCTTGGAGCTGGGCGGCCATAGCAAATATATCTTTGTAGGGCTTTTCAATTCCAAGTCTGGGGGTGGCAACTTGGCTTTGCGGCGATAGCGTGTGGCGGCGTTCCTTTCTGGCGCTTAGAAGCACCAGCCACTGGCCAAATAAGAGGCAACAAGGCCTACAGAAACCACAAGGGTAAGAGAATAGACGCCCAAGCAGAAAAAGCATTCTGGAGAGTACAATTGCTGAGCAGACCAACAAAAGCTGAGCTGCGCGGCGCTTTCACCTTTGGCTGTTCAACGTAGGGCTTGAAATCAGAAACCCTCAGAGCGCTACGTGCTTCCAAAGCTTTGTCAGGTCCAACCATGCATCAACAGCGTCTTGCTGCGCGTAGAATTACAATCTATCATGCGTGGAAAGCCCAGGGCGCCGAATTTCCGCCACTGATTGAAGTTAAATAAACGCGCTTGGTGCCCAAAAACGTCGTTGGAGCAATTCGCGAATATTCAAGAACTTGCGTGAACCGTTTGATTGCCAAAAAAGCCGTTGGCAAACATCAGTTGACCAGCTTGACCTTGGCAAAGCGTCACACTTTGGGATATATGCAGGTATTCTGTGACAAACCTTCTGACTTCACTGCCATGCTACACAAAACCACGCATCTTTGGAAAGCTCTCTGGAGGCCGTCTCGCACACTATGGCTTTGCATTGCCCGCCCTTACCTGCGAAACAAAACATTGGCCTGTGCGCAAACAAAAAAGCACTCTGGGGTCTGTGATGCCCAGTGCTATCAAAGGCAAGCCCCGAGGGAAGAGGACTTGCTGCTGTGCAGGGGTAGTTCGAGTAGCTTCCATGATTTGGCTGCCCCAAATGGGTTCTTTCAACTGGGTTCCTTTCGGATGCTAACACTTGATTGTCCTTTGATGCAAGCGATCGGAAGCCGCGTCTTAGAACCCCTTCAGGGTCCCCTGAATTTTGCCGTCATGACCACTCCCCTGTACAGCTGGGACAAAAAACGCCATTCTCTAATGTTGGCCCCGGAATAATAAACCCCTGTTTATTAATACGGGGGTGTCCCTGGTTTTAGTGGGGATTCATCACTTTTGGAGGCGCCCCCACCCCCATATGAATAAACCGGGGTTTATTCATCCGGGGTCAACATTAGCAGAGATCCTTACATTATACACCTGAACGTTGCCTTGTAAATGGTGGCTTCCAACTTTATTTTGGTGTTGAAAAAGCCACATGTTTCAAATGGTCGCAAAATGAATTTCTTTTAAGGAGCTCTGATTAGGTGCCCACCGGCTGAACCCCATGGAGGGTGGATGGTCTGAGTTTGCTCACCGAGCGGCACATCGTGTGCCCGCAGGGTTAAAGACGATGCACAGGATCCGCCCGTCCCGATGAACATCCTAACAACTGGGAGGCGATCGTTTGGAAAAAATACATGGGTTTCCATGACCCTTAAAAAATGGTTGGTCATTACCATTTTTTAAGGGGTCATGGACCCATTTTTTAGTAAGGGTCTACCCAAACGCATCAATCAAAGGACACCGATTGCTATGAATCTGGGTCTTTATTTTGGAGTGAGTGCCCTTTCGCAGGCGTGTTAAAGGGAAAACCAACTGGAAAACCGAAGCCAGTTTGACACGTGTCTACCAAAAGGCGGTAGATCTACAACCTGGATGAGGGCTTGAAAGGGGAGGGGCAAAATTCTGCCGGCGCCCCCCTGTCTCCAATAAACTAGGTTTTGGCCCTTGGTTTTGGTTCCCATCCAAAACCAAGGCTGAGCGCCAAAGGCCAGATCGCGCCCAAGAAAAACATCGGCCGACATGGTGATGGGGTTGGGTTTTCCCCCGAGATCTCGAAGCGTATCAAAAGCCACCCCGAATCCACCTTCAAGCAATGGTCTTCTTTAGGGCTTCAACCAAACCTACTGCTTCCAGTTGCCACTACAGTTAGCCCTTCCTGGTACCTACAAGAGTGGAACTGGAAGCACTGGGTAAACCCTATACTTAAAATGGAGCCTGGGAAAGGTACCCTCCCACCAATAAACATGGAACCTGACGTTCGGGGGGTCTTGGAAGAATTGTTCTTCCGTTTCACCGAACGTCCAGTTCCGTGCGAAACGGCTGGGAAGGTCAACCATACCAGATGCAACCAGCAGTTCCCCATGTAAACCGAGAGCTAGCCACACCTGGTGACCTACATGTAATTTTCTAGTGGCTTCTCTGGAAGCACCGGCGCTTTCAGCACTTTTCTTTCTACTGGTTTCCACACACGTCTGGAAGCGCCCGGCGAACCATTCATAGCTATTCTCAGGCTATTCTAGTGGCTTCTCATGGCTTTTCTGCAACTGGGCCAGGCAAACCAATTCGCCGGTCAATTCGACACAGCGCCGGCTCCGTCGCCCCCCGAAATTGTCGGGTCCTGGTCATCACGGGCGCTGCTAGGCCCGGTGAAGGTCACGGCCCCGTCGTCCCAGCCCGCGGCCAGCACCTAGCCGGGTTTCCCGGGCGCCGATTCGGATGGCTCGCAAAGGATTGTTGAAGCCCTGTTGCCCCAGCAGCACAACACGGCGGGTGGCCTGGTAGAACCCAAACATCCTGCCAGATCGTCAAACATCTCAGTCAAAGGAAACTTCACAAGCAAAAATGTGTGAACAACTATCGTAAAACCGGATTCACAAAGCCATATTTGCCCATCATATCAACATCGTATATACATCGCACCAAAACAAACTGTGCTTTTCGTGACTTAGCCTACACCGTGGGTCACAATGATATGGTTTCCCGATTGATTGTCCAACAAGTCACCACCCAACAAGTATACCCTCACTCCCACGAACATCCTCCTTTGCCTTTCGAACAGGGACAGTTCATCGAGGCCCCTTCAACTTGGCCACCTGCAAAACGAAGGGTAAGGTCAGAGCAACATAAACTAGGTCCTCCAGTAGAGAGGATAGAATAAGCTAGGGTACCATTCTTTTCTGTAGTCTATTATGTAGTAGGGGAAGCCTCCCCCAAAAGGGCACAAATGATGGGTTTCCCGGTTGATTGGCCCAAAAAGGGTACCGGTACCCTCCAAAAAAGACGCGATGCTTGAGAGCCATAGGGGCCATTTTGCAACTAGGCCTGAGGAATCTTGAGGCTCAGAAACGTTCCAAAAAGCTCGCCTTGCTATGGCTTGACGTCAGTGTATGAATATATTGTACCCCCATTGCCTCCAATTCGATCTAGCCATAGCCAGGTATCTATGGTTCTGCACAAATTACTACAACTCCCATCTAGCCTTCATCATGGAGAGCTCATTCAGGTGAGCTCGTCATAACTTGCCCAGCTATGCTGTATATATATATATATATATGTTCCAGTCCCCAGGCCGCCAACCCCCCCCCAGACTCGCACCCCTTTCACCCCGTGACCGAACCGCAGCACCTCTCGCCCACGAAGCCAACCCTAGACCAACATCCTACTCTACCCTACAACCCCTACCTCAACCCCACCCCTAACCCTAAACCACACCCCAACCACCCAACCACCCCACCCCACCCCCACAGGGGGGTTGGGGGGGTTCACGGCCTGGAACATATCTATATATATATATATATTCATGCTGCTGTACCCAATAACCAAGTCAATCTGTGATACCGTGCCACACGGAAGAAGAAAAAAAACGGGCTTCCCCAGCAAGGAACCTTCATCACGGATTCGCTGTGGCTAAATATATGCGGATGCCAAACAAACTGCGGTTGCTACAGTGGACCCCAATCGGGCTACACTGTCACAGCAAGGTTCTGCAACCGTTGACTGGCCAGGAAAGCTTTCACTTGTGACTTGCTGACCAAAATAATGAAGCCGCCTAGGAATTGGCCAATGTGTGCTAACTCAGCGAGAAGGGACGTGGATTGAAGCAGGGTCTACCTGTTGACCGTGTAGAAAATATCATTCAGGTAAATTGATCAAGCAACTGAGTTGCATTCCCTCGCAAATGCGAAGCCCCTCAAAATCAGCCAGAGGTTCAATCCGGGGTCAAACTTCGCTTTGACTCGGCCTCGCTACCGCTGCCTCGATTCGCTCGGATCCGTCCTCGCGCCTTGGCCTTGGGGTGCCACGCGAGGGCGCTGCAGTGCACCCCTCGGCTCTGCCCAAGCTCCGGCAGCTCCTGCGAGTTCGCGCTTCGCCGATCGCGCGCTTCGCGCGCGGATGTTCGCCAAGCAGTTGGGTTTGTCTCAAAATAAGGACTCCCCCAACATAGAAGAGGAGTTGTCCTTTTGGCTTCCTTTCAAAGCCATCCACAAAGGTACCCTCAGATTTGCCACGAGAACATCAAGAGCCCTTCAGTCGGCGAATGGCCATGACAACCACCCGATATCTATGGGACTGTGGATGGACGAAATCCGATTTCGCACCACGAAGTGAAACCATGGTTGCAACCATAACGTTTGTTGGTATTTACAGGCGAAGCAGGGTTTCTGAATGGTGGTGCAATATGGATTTCGTCCATCCACGGCACCACCATGTGCATGGCCTCGGCTACTTTATCACTTATGGATTCCCTTCGCATCACACCTGAAACCCTTTATTGACAACCGTGATTTTTGTAAGGCTGAGAATCCAACCCAACCACGAATTCTACCAACAGGTTCCCTTTGTGGACAAACGCGCAAATTACTGGCTTCAGGTTGATCTGACCTCCCAAGAGTCTGCACTGAACATTTTGCGGCAAGATGACAAAGCACATTATGTTTTGCCAAAGAGTTATCCGTACTCTATTGCTGTCGTACTTCCCGACAGCTTTTGATGGGACGTGGACATTCCCTCAATTACGGCGCAAAACCCGGATGGGTTTCTTCTGGGATGTGTGACATACGTGTAGAACAATCAACTTTTTAAGTTGACAAAGCTTTTTTGGGGCCGTGAAACCAAGAGGCAAACCAGAACTGGGCTGCCCTCAGGTCCCCCGCTAAAAGCTTGACTCTTGGGTTAAATGGACACCCAACCACGAAACACCCAAAAGCTAAAAGGCTAAGGAACCGGATGGCTGGGAGCCACCAAGATCAAGTTGACCTCTAGTTACAGAAATAACATGGGAAATTCAGGGCCCCCTGGAGTTTTGTGGCTGAAATTTGAGATAAAAACAGCTTGGAAGACCCCCGGGATTTCCGGAAGATGGCCATCCTGACTTGCGCTCGAAGACCCCGGTTTGACGCCCTGTATGAAATGGGCGGCTTGAGGTTGGGGGGCCCAATGTTGATTGGCTCAGGTGAAGCAATGCTCGGGTGGACACGAAGCTGGCCTCTTTTGCAGCCTACAAAAACTGAACAGAACTAAAAGACCCTAAAAACTTAAATACGTGCCAAGAACAGTGACCTGTCTAGTGACTCTTCCCTTTAAGTCTCCATGTCTCCCTGAAAACCGTCCTCGCCATCCTCCCGGAAGACGCGGAGGTTGAAGCCTTCAGCTACCGCCAGTAGTGGCGCCTCCTCGCCTGACAGGTCCGGGGGAGGTGACAGGTGTGGTGCATTGACGAGGTTAGAATAAGTTGGTACCAACGATTCTTTTTCTGTTTTGTCTACTTTAGTAGGGGAACCGAATCTCCCGCCAAAAGAAAACGGTAAAAGGGCACTACTGGGGGACCTAGTTGAGCTTAGGATACAGTTCAAACCAGGCAACGCGTTGGATTAGCGGGGTAGCAGCAAAAACTGGCCCCATAATTTTACCATCAAGTCACCCCGTTCAGTGGTAGGTTACAGGGAAACACCCCCATCTGACTTTGATAACCCCAGGAAATGTCTACCCCTCTGGGTTCGGAACCCTTAAGGCGTTTGGCGCTTCGACCACCAAACGCCAATTCGGTACACTTGTCAACTGGACTTTGTTGACCGCAAGCTAAATTGCAACCTCACATTGGCTCTAGGGTTTGCAACCTCGGGCATGAAGGTTCGTTGCTCAAGACCCAAGTATTCAACAAGTCTTCAAATGGTCATGAAGTAGGACTTCCGCAAAGAGGGATTCAGCCTGCTTCTTCTGTCCATGTCAACCCCTGTCCCAGTGTATTCCCCCCCCCCCCGCCCCTTCAGCTGCGGGCTCCGCCCCCCCCCCCTCCCCCGCGGCATATGCTGGCCTTGGCTCCAGGCGACACAGGACGCGGAGACAAAGTCTTTCAGCGGCAGCTCGTTGTCGAAGTAGATGGACGACATGGCGACGTGGTTGTCAAAAATAGGTAACTCACTGGCTGAGTGGATGGCCAAAAAAAAGTTCAAACTGGTCTTCCCAAAAAGTTTAAAGTTCATGAGCTCAGGAAGTGAGGGTACCCAGAAGGGCTTGTGCTGGTAAATGGAAGCATGGACGATTCAACCTGCGGTCCATATCCTGGTGGTTGAATTTTGACCCATACCCACGTGGCGACGCCAAGTCGTCAAGTCGTCAAGCGCGGAAGGATCGAAGCGAAAGGCGGCTTCCGCGGAAGCAAAGCTTAAGGTGAGTGGCATGCAAAGAACTGGTGAGACTTGAGTTGTTTCCCTTCTTAGCCAAAGGCAGCAATCCAAGTTTGGAAGGTACTGCTCGTTTCGGTTCTTGGGCTCGGTGGTTAGCTGGGGTGCGTACTTCCAAAGGCCTCTGCTTCTTGCAGTTGAGAGGTGCAAAAAGGGCAAATCAATTTGCCAAGCTGTCAAAAACAAATCGTAGGCTTCAAAATGCAGAGTGTCTCTTCCTTGGGCTTCCAGTTGCACTTAAGGCTCATGCGGCCCTTGGCACAGGCGCTACCTCTGCCATCTGAAAAGCCGGCCGAGCACGGTGGCGCAGGCGACGCGGGCGACGCGCGATGGAAAAACAACTCGGGATCTGCGGGTTGTGGCTATGCTTCCTGTAGGAACCCCCCCGACCAAGGTCTAGGTCCTCCAGTAAGAAGGTAAGAACAAGGGTACCTTTTTTTTTCCGGTAGTCTATTATAGTAGGGGAACCCTCCCCCCAAAAAAAAGGCAAAGGGGCACTACTGGAACACCTAGATGACTATCTCGGGCAAGATGTGCTCTGACATGACACGACGGCAGGGTAGCGGCTCCCAAAGGACAAGAACCGAGGAACCTTCCGAGGACCGAGGACCGTTCTTTTGGATCAGATCGAAGGAACCCGAAGAGCGAGTGGTGGATGGTTGCGAGATTTCCATTTTGCACCACCGTTCTGAAACCCTAGAATTCTGCTGGACACGCCCCCATTCTTTCCAGGGATCCTTCTTTTCAGAAAACCATCACAACCCCAGCAGAAAAAAAAAACAGCTGGGTATTCAAAAAGAACGATGGCTGAAAATAATGGGGAATCAACCCCTAGAATAATGATGATGCCCGCTGTAAATATCAACCAAAATCACAGTGTCAACCACGTTTCCATAAACCAGTGCCGGATTTCGCCCATCCACAGTAGGTCCACGGATCCCCTGTTAATCGATGGGTTTCTTCAGGGCGGGTGTCTTGGTTGACGTTGGAAGGGGAGCGAAAAAAGAATCAGCAGTTGAACAAGATACCCAACTGATTGAATTCTCACAAATGTGGGCAGACTGAAAATCCCATCTGAAGCAAGGATTTTGTCAAGGAACCTCGGAAGTGGACGGTCCCGAGCCGAATCTCCGAATCCCTGGTCACGGCTTGGTTTGCCCACATGGCCGAAATGGCAAACACAATTTGGGTGTGTCTCAAAGAGAGGGACACCAAATGGTCGGCTCCCTGCAACACCTGCAAAACCAACAGGGCTCCCCCGAAAAAGCGTCAAACCCAAACCCCAACAGGTTAAGGTCCTCTAGCAGAGAGGTTAGAATAAGGGTACCAACATTTTTTTCTGTTTTGTCTACTTTACTAGGGGAACCGAAAATTCCCCCCAAGGGTCAGGAAAAGGGCACTGGGGGACCTAGATATTCACCATTCATCCGAGGTTCACAGCTGCGGGTGGGTTTTCCTGAGTCCCTACTGCACCACGAACTGAAACCATGGTTGAAACCATTATCCGCCGACATTGCTCGGCGTGTCGGATACTTACTAGAGGATAGAGGATAACCCCCCCCCTAACCCCCCCCCGCCCGACGTCTATTACGTAGGTTTTTGGGGGGGGGGGGTCCCCCACGTACCGCGCGGCAATTTGATGACGTTCCACTAAACGTAGTCTTCGGGGAGCCGGTGTCGCAAAACAGGGGTCCCAGGCTCGATTCCCCCTGCCGGCTTTTTTGCTGGCTTGGGCTTCCTGCATCCTTTTGCCGAAAATCTGGAAAAACTCAATGTTTTTGGACGTCCTCTTTGCGAAAACGCTGGAAAAACCGTGTTTTTTTTGCGGGAAATACATACATACATGCATGAATGCATGCATGCATACATACATACATGTCATACATACATTACACACAAACATACATACATACATACATGCATATACATACATACATACATACATGCATACATGCATTACATACATACCTACCTACCTACCGACATACATACATACATACATACATTACATACATACATACATACATACATACATACATACATACATACATACATACATACATACATACATACATACATACATACATACATACATACATACATACATTACATACATACATACATACATACATACATACATACATACATACATACATTACATTACATACATACATACATACATACATTACATTACATTACATACATACATTACATACATACATACATTACATTACATTACATTACATTACATTACATTACATTACATTACATTACATTACATTACATTACATTACATTACATTACATTACATTACATTACATTACATTACATTACATTACATTACATTACATTACATTACATTACATACATACACATACATACATTACATACATTACATTACATACATACATTACATACATTACATACATACATACATACATACATACATACATACATACATACATACATACATACATACATACATACATACATACATACATACATACATACATACATACATACATACATACATACATACATTACATACATACATACATACATACATACATACATACATACATACATACATACATACATACATACATACATACATACATACATACATACATACATACATACATACATACATACATACATACATACATACATACATACATACATACATACATACATACATACATACATACATACATACATACATACATACATACATACATACATACATACATACATACATACACATACATACATACATACATACATACATACATACATACATACATACATACATACATACATACATACATACATACATACATACACATACATACATACATTACATACATACATACATACATACATACATACATACATTACATTACATACATTACATTACATTACATTACATTACATTACATTACATACATTACACATACATTACATACATACATACATACATACATACATACATACATACATACATACATACATACATACATACATACATACATACATACATACATACATACATTCATACATTACATACATACATACATACATACATACATACATACATACATACATACATACATACATACATACACATACACATACATACATATACATACATTACATACATACATACATACATACATACATACATACATACATACATACATACATACATACATACATACATACATACATACATACATTACATTACATTACATTACATTACATACATACATACATACATACATTACGTACATACATACTTACTTAGGTACTTACTTACTTACTTACTTGCTTACATTACATACATACATACATACATACATACATACATACATACATACATACATGCATACATACATACTTATGTACATGCATGCATACATAAGAGAGAGGGAGATTGGGAAGAGAGAGGCTTGGGGGGATGGGGAGGATGGGAGCAGAGGGAGGGAGAGCACACAAGGGAGACAAGGAAGAGAGGAAGAAGGAGAAAAGGGAGAGGACAATGTCGGCGGACTGAGCCGGAGGCTCTAAAGTTTGTTGGTATTTACCGGGGAAATCGGATCATTCCAGGCTTTCTCCGGTGGTGCAGGACTTTGTCCATCCACGGCATGACACCACCCACAATGGGGGAGAGCCCAAAGTGGTCGCACGCGGCGAGACTTGCAACGGGGCGAGGCGAGACGGCCGTCTCGTCGAGCGCCGAGCGCCTTCGGCCGCACCCTGGTTGCCGGGCAGCATGGGGAACCAGTAAAGCAGGCCACCCATGACCCCAGGCCTGCCCGTCGAACGTGGTCGCGTATGTGTGCATACGTATATTTGTTTTCTCTATACACATATATGTATGCACGGAGGTGGAAAGGTGGACCATGCAGGGGTATGAGCATATATGAATGCATATATATATATACATACACAATATACATATACATCTATTCCCATATATATATATAATATGTTGGTTAGTGCTGAAACGGATTTGACATGAAAACCAGGCATTTCAATTTGTGGATCCACTATTTTGACACAACCCGTAGTGGTTCGTTGTTCACATCCCACAAGTTGAGGGTTTAGTGGGATATGTCATACATCCCTTGATCGTCTCAAAATCTAAAAATGTACGGGTATGTCTGTGAATTGCCAAGGTGTGCATGTATGTGTGTGTATATATATATTCCTGAATATAAAGGAACACATTTTCACATGGGCCTGTTTCTGAATAGGAACGCCCCTTGCCACGTCCCGAGCCTGAAACTGACCGCATAGACTATATACTTGACAGATTGACCAAACCTCGCATGCATACACCTGAATGCGTACAAACAAAACATATGTTTAAAATGTATGTGAGCATCTTGTCTGCTAGTACTTGCATTAGTGCGTGGACATGCGCATATATGTAGTATGTATATATGTACATTTGTATATATATATATATATATATATATGTATTTACTAATGTGTATATATATATATATATATATATATATATATGTACATGTGTGTGTATATGTATATATGTATTTACTAATGTGTATATATATATATATATATATATATATTTCTGCGTTGTACATGCTGAACATGGATGAACAATCGCGACACTATATGTATGTGCGCATATGTGCATGTGTGCATGTGTGTGCATGTGCACGTTATATGTGAATATGTGTACGTGCGAATATTTTGTGTGTCTGTGTGTCTGCGT